AAAAACTCTCCTAATATTTATTTTTTCATTTATAAAATTTAAAATTAAGAATTTTTTTTATTTAAATCAATAAATGAAGGAAGGTGCATTTGTTCGGAGAAATTAAGAACAATGACAAAGGGACCGACAGGTTCCCAAAGCCGATGAAGACCGCCGTTTTCACTTTGTGGTTAAATTTATAAATTAAGTCCCTACACTTAATTTTAAACTTATTTTAATCCTTTAACTTTTCAAATTATTTTTTAATCTTAAACTTTATTTAAAATTCAATTTAAAGTTCAATATTTAAGAACTATGGTTTAAATATTATTAGAATACAGGGTTTAGTATTTATAGTTTAGAATTATATTATTAAAGTTTAGGGTTTAATATTTAAATTTTAGGTTTTAGTATTTAGGATTTTAAGATTTACATTTTTAGAATTTAAGATTTAGTATTTAGGATTTAGGATTTATATTATAGAGTTTAGGATTTAACATTTAAATTTTAAGATTTAGTATTTAAGATTTTAAGGTTTACATTTTTAGAATTTATGATTTAGTATTTAAGGTTTAAGGTTTATATTTTATATTTTAGGATTTAATATTTAAGGCTAGAGTTTAAAAGTTTTAAATTTAAAATTTAATGTTTGAGAAATTATATTATTATTTAAATTAAAAATAAAAACAAAAATTAAACGTTATAGGACCTAAAATTGAGAATTAAAAATTCCTAGAGTTAAAAGTAAAAACGCTATAGGGACCGGAGGTCCCAATTCAGCTTGGGAACCAGTCGGTCCCTATAATTTCACTCTTGCTATATAAACACAAATAAGGCTAGGTATGGTTTGGTTTTGGTCTAACCAAAATTAATGTTAAAATTTTTTTTTAGTAACTAAAACCAAACCAAAAATGTTCATGAATTTTTAGTTTGGTGACCAAAATAATCGGGTTTAATATTGTAATTATAAGTTATAATTAAATTAACATTGAATGTTTATTCAAGTTTAATAGTGAATCTAGTTAACCAAAATTTAAAAATTTTAAAGAATCTAAATATAACAAAATACAAAAAAGATAGAT